GTAACGCAAGGCCTCAAAGGGCTTACTGCTTTTATAAAACAGCAGGCAACATGAAATATACAATGAGATCATGGACTGCTGAAAGAGGATATAAATATTCAGTCACTCATCATTGTATACTGCAGTAATTTTATTAACTTTCTGACACATAATGATGTACATATCATATAGGGATGTAGCGATGCTGATACTGATATCAGGTATCTGTCTTACATGCTCATTTACTTGTACTAATAAAAATTCACTGATAATAACATTCCAAAACCAGTTGATACTGTGTGACGTAAGCTGAGTGTGCGCTGCCACTCAGAGAAGCAAAGAAGGCTTGTTACTGACTCTGTGACAATCAAACACAAAGTCATTGGTCACTTTAAACATTCTGCCCGGCAGATTCCCGCCAGACCTACACTGTGTGATTTTAGCGCGTTTTTAAACACACAATAACAACCGCTTCAGCAGTACAGGTGGTGACATGTAGGCTAGCTAAACAGTGGAGCCAACATTTGCTACCAAAGTCTGCCTACGCTGTTTGACTGAATAGAAAACAAGCTGAAGAGAGACCGTATTGTCCTACTGTGTACATCACCACCTGCTTTTAGCTTCAACGCAGTGTTAGCAGTGCTGCTGTTTCACTTTCTCTTTGCTCAGTACTCGAAGCACAGCATGTTTTGAGTGACACAGCTTTTTTTGAAATTGTTCACTGAAGAAGCTGTCTGTAGAGGCTGTGTTTCACATAACATGAAAAGAGCGTTTTTGAACAGTGTAAGTAAATAAATCGTAGGCTTTGTCCGTAAACGATGGTCGACTCAAACTTGCAATGTGAGTCACCAAAAAAACAAGATTTCTAGAATCACACAGTGTATGTCTGGCTTTAAAAGAAATTCAGCTACAGCTCAACCAGCCAAGACTCTGAGAAGACAAACTCCACACATGAGCTCTTTGAATGCAAAAGTCTCGACTGTGATTCCTGCGGTCACTGTGCTACAGAAACTGTTGCTGGAAAATAGAGATGAGGAGCAAAACTACAGTTGTACAAAAGTACATTTCTGATGCGAAACAAAATCTGCTCTTCTCCACTGCAGCGCTACTCTATCCACAGTACTCTAACACAGAATAGCTAGCTAAAGCAATTCATTTAAAATAAGCAGATTATAATGATTTAACTGTTATGGTTGCATTCATTTACAGTAACAACTAAACTCTTAAAGATGATTCACAGGGTTCATAGTTCTATGCAGAACCATTAACACTCAAAGAACCCTTTGCATGATTAAATAATTACAGAACCATCTACAACACATTCTCCACCTGAAGAAGCCTTTCATTATGCAAAGAACCCTTTAATCATGTAAAGGGTTATTTAAGCGTTTATGGTTCTGTATAGAACCATATATAGATTTTCTTTACTAAAGAACCCTTGAAGAACCATCTTTTTTAAGAATGTACTTAATTCTAAGTAGGTTACTCAGTATGGTATCGGACTTGGTATTGGCAAGTATTAAAAATATGTACTTATACTCAGTCTAAAAAAATTGTATTGATACTATAATATTAGAGATGCAATGTTTAATGCAAAAAAATCTTCATTTTATAAGTCATTTTTGCTCACCAAATTACCTCTGCACTGACAAAGCATTTTTATTAGCACCTCTATGTGATTTCCAGTCTCATTTAGCACGAAGCTAACGGTGCTGTATGCCCATTTTCTCACGCCAGGGCTGAAACTCAAATGTCTCCCTACTTCCCGGTGTGTGCACAGCATAGGACTAATAACCCTTTACTCATGTAAAGGGTTCTTTGGGTGTCCATGAGCCAAAATACTGGCGCTTGCACACAAAGAGTGGATAATATACTTAACAAATAACACCAGTCATTTGGGATTCACGTGTTACAATTCCACACTGGACAAACCGTTCACTGTTTCGGTGTGCAAGCCAGAATTTTATAACTTAATGCAGCTACAAAGAAAAAAGGGAACCACTTGGCACAGCTCAGCCAATCAGATTTTAAAAGCAAAATTCTATTTTATGAATGACAATCATCATCAAGTTAGGTTCCCATCATAAACCAAACCACAACCCTAAACCAGCACCAACAGTATCTCATCATGAACACACTGGTCCTCGTGGTTCGAAAGGGGCAGTTTGTCTCCTCAGACAATGGGGCTCACTGCTTCAAGATCAATCAAAAGACAAAATTACCAGCAGTGTCAAAGGCAAGAGCTCACATTTCACATGAAGTCAGTAACACTCTATTGCGTCCTAAAGCCAGGGTCACACTACACGACTTCTACCCCGATTTTAGGCCCAATTCTCAGTCTGGCTGAGTCTGTGCTGATTGGCTCCAGCCTGCAGATTTTTGGATCAGTTAGAGTCGACAGTCGGAGAGACAACTGAGTAGCGTGCGAGGGGCGCAGCTTTCAACTTGACTAAACTGTTCAACAACTCAATCTGAACGAACTCTTCCAACAGGCAATGAAAACTGAGAGCACGAAGGTAGATACTACAGCAAGTAAACAAAGAAAAACGTCACTTGTGTGGAGCAAAGCTTTTTAATGAGCTGAGTTTAAGATATGGGCATAATTGAGTTTACGTACATTTAAAACTCCAAACAAATACCACATTAATCACATTTACAATCCCTCAATTACATATGTTTACCTGCTGCTTCTTTACTTAGTAAAAAAAAAAGTAGTAAAAACTAGCAAAAGCAGCAGCAGTGGGTCAGTGATACCTAATGCCCCCTCAAAGATGCACGCATAATACCCAGACAAAGAACAACCTGGTAAAGTCAAAGATCAAATGAGCCGCAAATCCTCAGTCTAGGAAAAAGTAAGAACATGTGGCATCTTTGAGGAACATGCAGCTTTGCTTAACTCTACAAAGAATTCTGTATAACTGTAGACATCTGTGTGAGTGTGTACGCACAACAGTGTGTGCACAGTATTAATTCAACAGTACAACCAGTGTTAGCTACTAAGTAAACACAGCTATCTGACCACTTTAGTCCTATATTTTAATAGTTGCAGACAATGTAAAGAGCAACAGGAATTTTCAAATTTTGTCAAAAGCTGAAAAATGGCAAAAATGGAGATAATAGGTTTTGCTCAGACAGCAGCGATATATATCAGGCTCCCAAGTGCAACCATCAGAGGTTGTGCACAATAGCCGGGAGTCTATGAGTTCAAATCCCAGCAAAGTCCTAACTAAAATTAAGTTGTTAATTACTGGCTTATTATCTGAAGAATTTTCAGATCCTCAAGTCATCAGCATGAGCCAATATAACAGGCCAAATAATTAATTGATCGGGCTCTAGTTTAAAAACAGCAGTGCTAATCTGGTGCACTACAGACCTAATCATGACGCCTGCATGAGTAAAGAGCCATGGGGCAATGAAAGGAACAGAGTCTGAGCGCTGAAGCTGCCCAGATCACACAAGCTGCTCTGGCCCTGTGGGGGGGAACATACTCTCATATTCATTAGCCTACAGGGGGGCAGGTGAGCGCAAGGTTAATTAGCGGCAAGCTGACTTCATTTTTTCACGCAGGATATTAACTCACATTTCGCCACAGAAAGGCACATTCAGCCAGGGCCAGCAGGAGCTGGGTAATGAGTCAGCTCCCAGCTTTACACAGATCAAGGCCACACAAGTCTGAAAACAATCCCAATGCAATCTAAGAATTCAGCAGAAACTGGTAAAAGAGACACCAGCTTACAAAATTGATTCAGAAAGCTTAACACAAGCTTATATATTCATATTAAAATTACAGTACATCATACCGTAAAATCACAAAGACAATGTCACCGCAAAACATGCCACAATAACAGCATGGAAATATTACGTGCTCTACCACAGGCCATCTCAACATTAAAGCCTGGCGTCATTACATGTTGTGAGAATGATTCTATTCTATCATTTCCTCAGTGCTATGTCTCTGCAATAGCTAAAATGTAAGGTATGCAACCTAATGTCCTGCAGCCTGGATCAAATTCTGAACACTGAGATTCGACCGCCCAACATGTAGGGATCTGCTGCCCACTGAAAGGAACCATAAAACTAGCATCAGCTAAACAAGTCGTAGATCCTGAATGGCAGACAGACATTTTTATCATGAACACTTTTGTATTTGGGGTGGGCAATATGACATTTTCTTGTTATCGTGATAAATCATATCAATACACATTTCTGAGTATATCATGGATATCATCAATACTTAAAGAACACTGACTAACAACACATTTTATTACAAAGTAAGCAGAATTAGGCCTGTTTAACTAGATTTAGAGTAATGTAGTGCAGTGCAGTTTGTAAAATATGTAATAAAAAACATTGTAATTGTAGATTTACTATTATTTTTGTTATTATTATTATTATTATTATTACTACTACTACTACTACTATGTTTCATTTTATATGCTGCACTACACATCTTGAAGTATCATGATAACACTTTTGCCATATGGCAACCCCCCCCCATTTGTATAGTTATACGCGAAGCAGAGTTCAATTGTCAAGTATGCTTTCCTGCTTCTCTGTGTCCAAAATGCTTCAGTATTGTACATCTGACACCACAGAAAAATGTACTACATAAAACTAAACTGCTTCAGAAATATCTCACAGCCCTTCTCAAAAATAAAAAGAGAAGAAACTGGACATCCAAGTCTCAAATATTTGCTGCAGACCTACATGAGAGTGATTTGTCAATAGGAGCAGTTAGTTATGGCCAAGCTGTAGCTGTATATCAGCAGCTCCAAAGCTTAAGCCCTTTGTTTTGACATGCTGCTTTTCAGCACCATAAAGCATGATCCTGTTTCCACAGCACAGAGACAGAAAGAGTGAGACAGACAGAGAGTGTGGAAAAAGAGAGAAAAAAAGAGCATGAAAACAGCTGCAACATGTGTAGCATTTGAAAGCAGTAATGAAAGTGAAAGAGAGAAGGTGAGAGTGGGACAGAGGAAGAGAGACAAAAAAAAACACACAAAGAGAGTGGTGGGCTTTACCTCGAAACTTCTTAGGAGGGTTATTGAGGTCGCCGGTATCTGGCTGTACAACACAACGATCGTCCACCAGGCTGCAGACAGATGAGAAGTGTGTTACACCAAACTACTGATAAATTTATTCCATTGTGTATTATAAATTACTGAAATGAAAAAGAAACAGACTTCAGACGATTCCGTGCAAGCATATAGCTAAGGGCTGGGACAAGTTTCTACAGAAAATGTCTGCTTTCAATTTATCTATGCTTCGACCACGGACATATAACTTTCACAGCAATGGTTGCGAAGTTGGACGTGCTTTACAGAAAGCTGGCAAAAATCTCATTAAACCTAGAAACAATAACAAATTTGCCACCACGCTAATGTTAGCTTCATTACACACAAAAAAATAAAATACTCATTTACATGCAGCCTAATAATCCCTTAATAGTTCGACTAGTAGCTCAATCGGAATAGAATACGTCTGTGTAAACACCTCAATCGGAATAGTCTAGTCCGATTGAGGCCATTCGGTATACAATTTCTATCCGATTGAATGAGGTGGGTAATCCTGTAAATAATCTGTTAAATAGAAGAATAATATCCGTGTGAAAGCCTGTATCTGATTACATTCCCAATCGGAAAGTTTAAGTACATTCCGCACGTGTGTCTCGTCATAGCAAAAGTTTATAACGTTCAACATGGTGGAGCAGAAACTGGTCTGCTCTGATCTTTAAAAGACAGCGGTGGGACGGACGTCCAGCTTATGTGTCTCAGAACACGACGTCTTCCTCTCAGCCTTCTTTAATAAGGACATGTGAAGTACATTTTCCTGAAGCTGCCATAATTTCAACACAATTAAAAACAAGCGCACCAGCTGAAAACTTGCCTCACTCTGACTAGAATGTGATGTTCGCTGTCGTGGTAGTGTCTACACTAATTGTTTCTCTACGCATGTGTGTAATTTGGGATAGGATTACTTGTAGTGAGCATGTAAACAGAGATTTTCATCAGACTGTTGAGTAGAGTGAGTATATAAATACATCAGTCTTAATCTGTAATCAGGAATGTACTCAATCGTATTGGCAAAAATCTTTGCATGTAAACATAGCCAGTGTGATCTTGCATGTGCATACCAAATAGATATCATCTGAAATTAATAACCCACTCTAAACTTCTGTAATCTGAGAAATATTTGTCGTTACGATTTCTTGTTAGATCGAATTAGATTTTGATTTGTACAACCTGTTCAACCTAACAATTTTTGCTATAAAAGAATGCATTTGTGTGTGTGAGCACTGATATGTCAATTGCTACATTCAATTGAAGACTTTACTTACATAGAAGATACGTGTTTCAAAAAGAGTACAATAAACATTTGTTATAAACATTTGGTGTCATGTCAAATAACCAAGAGAGAAGTATGAGGGTGTTAAAAAGAAAACACTTTAAGAGAAATGTCAACTTAAAAAGCCTGTGAGAGGCAAAGAGAAAAACAGACAGAGAGAAGGAGCAACACATTTGGGAACCGACCCCTGTTTAGAATGGGAACAAAACCTACAATCTGGAATCCTAACACAATAAAACCATGCAGTGCCTATATAACGTCAGACACTTCAACAGGCCTCATCCAATACCAAGCAACTTCCCATGTGAGAGGGTTAATCACACTCACAGTCAGCACTTTCTGCATTACCAGAGCAGCAGGTCGGGGAGTCTAATTTTATCTCCAGCAGAGAAAATGATGTCTCTCTGTATGTCAGAACTATTCAGCACACCTGTCTCCATCACTGTGAATGGCATACACCTCATACCTGAAGACATACTGAGAGGGAAAGACATTCAATGTGTAGCGACATTTTGGAGTTACTCTATGCCTTTATTCAGAAACTGCAAAGTGGTTGAGCAGTTAAAGCCACTGTTTTGGAGTTAAGACTAGGACACTATGCTGCAGTGCCTTGTTTATTGACACAACAGCAATGCTCCTAGAAAGGAGGCAACAGGAGATGCAGCTGTCTAAGCGTAGGTCCTATCATTAAGAGTTCGCAAGGTCGATCCCTGCTGATGCCACTGCCTCTCGTAGCCGTGAGTCCAAGACAGCACAACCGGCCTCGCTCTCTCTGTATGGGCTGCATGGCTCTCCTTTCCCCCCATCTCTTAGTATGTTGCAACGTCTGTTAGCTGACGTAATGGAATTGGCAGTTAGAACTGTTGTTCAAGTGCACTGAGCTGTTCAATGAGGGAACATACCAAGCCTTCACCCTCCCAGCATCGAAGGATGCTAGATAGCTGGTGGAACTGGTGAATCTCTTGAAACTTCTTTGAAACTCTGTTGCAACAGCTTCAACCACCTAAACTCTACAGCCATCTCAAGTTTCATGAAACAGCCGGTCAAATCACAGATTTTAATTGACACATCATGGACAAGAAAACAAAACAAAAAAAAAAGCATGCTGTAAATAACATCATAGAAGATTTTATATAGCAAAAACAATACAATATATAAAAAAGATACTAGTGACTGCTGACTGGTTGGCTAATTAAATGTGTTACATGATATTTCGATTATTTTAAATTACACACAACCAGCAACTAGTTGCATGAAAGATGCACCATGTAAAGCCACCCTCACATATTATTTCACACAGTGACTGACAGAAGGAGCAGCAAACCTACAGATCATCCCTCAGGAAAATTAATTCAGGTCACTTTGACACCTCATGAAGCCAGCTGCAGTTTCTCAGGCACATACGGCTGAATATGGTTCAGCCATGCACGCACACATGCACCTACACAAACACACACGCACACATTTCTTCCCACTGGCAGTGTAGCAAGCCAGGTGGCTCATTACTCCCTCCCTTGTGTGAGGTCAGTCAGTGGCACAGAGACAGAGCCATACAGGGGTCTAAATATAGCTCCAGATTGTCACTCACTCTTTCTCACACACACACAGACACACACACAAACACAGAAGAGGTAGAGAAAATGATTACTGAGCAAAACAACACAAGGCAGACGACTTGACAAATGAGTTCTGTCAACTCTTCGTTCCTCAAAGCTGTGCATGCTGTTGTTGCCATGGAGAAGTGACATTAGACAGTGGTGTGTAAATGAGCGAGCGTGAGTGTGAATGTTTGGTCACTGGGAGATGTCACAGACTTGTAAAAGGGTGGAACTGAATGGCAGGAAATGGCAGGGTATGATTAACCAAAATGGGAAGGTTTCATCAGCTAGGCAAAGTCTTGAAGAATAGGGCACTAAATCTGAGCTTTCTGCTCAGCGATGAAGACAAGTGCAAACAGTCAGGAGCAGAATGTAGAAAAGCAAACACCGTAACAAACATCGTAACCCAGGCAAACACACCACCAAGACATTTACAGTCACATAATTAACTGTGACATTCTCTCATGAGTCTTGGTGCATCACATCCCTTGGATGCAACTGACATGTTCATTAAGAGCAAGATGTAGGGAAGCTATCTCCTGTACCTGTAACTGCATCCTGTATTTTACATTTTGCAAACTTTTTCCACTGATGTGTTGCTTTAAATACCATAAACAGTCATAATTCATTTTTGCAGAACCACTTTCATTTGCCTTTAAAACTGACATTTGTAAATGATTTCTTTTTTTGATTGATTTGATTTCTTCAAATGGGCAAATGGGGATGCGTGTTAGTTTTCATGGCATCACAAAAACAATTAATGCAAAACAGTTGTTTCTGTAGCTTTATTTTCATATATCGCTGTTGTCAGAAGAAAACCTTGTATCTCCAAATTGGTAACTTTACAGGAAATGGAAAAAACATACTTTACTTTTAATGTAAGTCAATGGAACCAGACTTTTTCGAAGTAATTTTGGGTAATTTCTTTTGGTCCCTTGTTCATGAAATTAACATACAATGTACAGGGCAACAGGCATTTTCAAATTATGTCAAAACTGAAAAACGACAAAAATGGAGATACAAGGTTTTCTTCCGATAGCAGCTAAATTTATCATATAGACTTTGGAAACAACAGTATATTCTGAAACTCTAAAATGTTTACTCACTACATCAAACAAAATAAAAAAAGCAAGAAATAGTTTTACAGGAAACAGGCCTTCTAAAAAATGTGAAAGTCAAAAACTGATTCTATCTGCTTAATCAGCACTCTGACACAGAAGAGAGTTATTTGTATATAAAATATACAGCTGTGTGTATACAGCAAGCTATTAAGTGCATTTCCCTTGTAAACCACATTCCCATCCTTCTGTCTTACAAGCTCTGCTTCTGTAGTCCCTTCAGAACACTAGGGGTCAGTGACAGGATCTGGACCTACTGTCTGGTTCAACATATGATGTGGTTCTTAGTGTGAAGGCCTAATTCACTGAGCTGCAGCCCACTCATTACAGACGTGAAAAGTTTGTGAAGAAGGGTAGCACAGTCTGAACACTAGATGCGTGTAAGAGAGTGAGAGAAAGACAGAGAGCAGTGTATATTACATATCGCTGCTGCCGTAACAAAACCTTGTATCTCCAAAATGATAACTTTACAGGAGAAGGAAGAACCAGACTTCTTTCCAAGTAATTTTGGGGTGTTTCTTTTAGTCCATTCATCATGAAATTTACACACAAGGTAAAGGCCAACAGGCATTTTTGAATTTTGTAAAAAATTGAAAAATAACAAAAATGGAGATATGAGATTTTGTTCCGACAGCAGCAATATGTACATTTCTGAAGTGTACATATGTAACATACATTCTATTTAAACCACATACTCATGTTTTAAGCAGTAAAAACACTGAAGACAAGGGCACATTTTGGTCTTTGCCATTTTTCTGTCACTGAAAGAGACAAAGTGAGAGAGAAAGAGAGAGGCATACCCCAAAGTGCTGATAAAACCATTGGTGGATCCTTCTGCATACAGGGAACAAATGTCCCCTATGTGGAGGAAGCTTGACATCTTGTCTGACATTTTTCTCTGCTTTCAGGTGCGCCTAGATGAAGAGAGAAGAGAGAAAAGAAATAGCAGAATTAGAAATGACAACAATCATAACAAATTGCAAGCCCCCTCCCTCAGTTCCCCTTTTAATCAATAAAATGGGCTTCTTTGCTACTGGTAGCTGGTTTACAATAATGCAAATGGAGCAATCATAAGTAGGTTATCATCATTCACCGCAGAGGTAACAGCTGTAGGGGAAAACGCTGGACTTTTCCAGCGAGAGTGCAGCAGGACTGCAGGGACGAATTCTAGAACATCGGTATCTGCCATTTTGAGGTGGCCTAGTTTTAGAGCAAACTGACACAGAATTCAAGGTCTGTTCGCTGTCGAGTTGGTGGGCTGGTGAGGGGAACCCAACCTAATGGGAGTGTGTGCCAAACAGGACAGGTATCAGAGCATCTACAATAGCCACAACTAGGTCAAAATGCAGAGGCTTCTATTCTGTAGATGACGCTTTGTTTCGGGTTAGCCACAAGCCTCTGAAAGTGAGGCTCTTTTTTCACTATTTCTTTTCATTTATTAACATTATGAAAGTTATCAGGGAGGAGAACAGAAAATTGTATCATTCATTAGGACTAAGGGTGGGAAGAATAATCGATTCTTAGATGCATCGCAATTCTCTTTTGTTAGGTTTACGTCAATGTATGAAACATATTTTTAACTGGGAAAAAAAGGCAACAGTACCAGATATTTTTGATGAAAACACTGTAGACTATTTGTATCCAATGTGACATAAAAAACAAAAGATCAAATAAAAATGTAGTGTAGGTCTTTATTTTTAAACCTATTAAATAGTGAAATATAAACATAAGTGCAGTGTGTATACATTACATTCAAATTCAACCAACTAATGAATGTACTGTGCGTAATGTACTTTACGTGCTGTAATGTTCCTTGCGCTAAGCTCAGAAATTCAGAAGTTGACCAGGATCTTTAAAGTGTACCCCATCAGGAATTCAAACCAGCAGTCGTCCAGTTACTGATACAAAGCCTTTAACCACTGAGCTAGTGCCAGTCCAAGTTACATGTTAAAAGGATGAACCAACATGGGAACTGTGGGTCGATATTTTTCATCTACATATCTGCCGATGCCACTACATAAACAATTATAAAACGCAGAAATAAAGACCAAATCCACCTGCATTATCGTTATAGAGAAATATGACATTTTAGCATAGCAGCCCAGCTTCACCTGAATACTGGCCTCATCCTGAGTGCAATAATATATCATTAAATATTGCTTTGAAATACTGGTCAAATCATTACGTGTTAACAATGCTGGTGATGTTTTTTAAGCAATTATCTGATGATTTGATTCCAGTTTCATCATGCATACCATAAATAGGTAAGGGATAAACCCAGAAAGAGTTACAGCCATACTTTAAAAATACATTAAACCAAAACACATCTGTTCACAACGCTGATAACATTTTTTAAGCAATTATCTGACAATATGATTCCAGTTTCATTGTCCATACTATAAACAGGGAAGGGATAAATCAAGAAAGAATTACAGCCATAATTTAGATTCAAAAATACACTACACCCATTACAGAATGCCTAAGCAAAAAAAAAAAACATCCTGCTGTTTATGCTGAAATTATATAAAACCATCTTAAGCAATCCTCCACGAACAATGTGAAAGTGCTTGTTTCCATTTTGCAGAGAACTTCAGTTCTAAATTCTGGATTACCACTGGCCAGCACATTTTTTTCTCTGCTCCAACACACCTGATTCAACACATCGGTTCATTAACAAGCCTACTTCTGACTGAAACCGAGTGTGTCAGAATGGAGAAACTACTATGTGCACAGTCATATTCCAGGACAGGAACTGAGAACCACTAACAAAGAAGAACAAAGCGTTCCACAACGTCTAGAGACTCCATGTATATTACTCTAATTACCCTGAGCTCAGCACTACCTATCAGCAGTGAAGAGATATTATAATCTCTCTGTTTTATGGGGAGTTTATCAGTGCAAAATTCAAATGAAATTGTACCGTAACTGTGCAAATATATTTCAGATACAGTCTGAAAAGAATGGTTCATTGAAAAATGTACACAGTGTCCTCTTACCCCAAATGCAGTCGATCAGCCAAGGCATGTTTACTGTCTGAAACTTGCTTCTTTAGTATTACACTGGACTTACTCAAAATATTTTTATTTTTCATCTCTATTATATTAGTATATATTATTATTATATAATATTAACACGTTTCACAATGTGCTTTACTACAGTCCCCAGCATGCACTGCATCGAAATGTGCACCCTGACTCTGCCACCCCAAACAACAATCTATGGGGCTGCTGTTACACGTCAATTCTATACAATTCTACACAGTTTCACACCAGTCATATCACCAAAATGCAAATCAGCTGCAGGTCAGCCAGTGTAAACACTTAACATTAGCTCAGCAGCTCAGAAATTGAGCCCAAGTCTCACTAAATTGCAGCAAAGAAAGGATGTCAGGTGTCTAGCTCAAGCAAATAGGCAGGTTTAAAAGACCGAGCGCCTGGGGACATTTCAATTTTGAATATTTCAAGTGTCCATGTAATATTTCAAGGTCTACTACAAGTGTCTGTATTTTACTGTTGCAGTTTTTGCGTATTTTATATAAACAATGGCCAGTTGGGGTTACATCACAATATTAAAAAAAATGAAATACAAACATTTTTTTCTCTGGCCCACAGATTTAATGAGTTTTTTTTAATATGGCCCTTCTGCCACAAAACATGCCCTGGCTGATCGACTACACTGGGAGTAAGAGCGAGACTGAGAGACTGTGTGAAAGTAATACTTCAGTGAACCACTCCTTGAAGATTCTCAAATTCACTGCATGTGCATCTACAGCCAATGTACAATTAGAAACAGTATAAATCAGAATGCTTCCTTTACCATCCAGGTCATAAATAACTTCCCAGCAACACTGCCTAGCAGACCAGTGAACTGGAACATCTACATCGAGATGAAGAAAGCACGACCAACGTAACTGAAATGAATAAAATAAATGCATGATGCATGAATGAATGAATGGTCTCACAGACTTATTTATGACGCAGACTTCACAGACAGCCCTGTAAACAAACTGTGGGAGTTTGTTTACAAAGATTTGTGTCAGGTGTTTACCTGAAAGAGAAAATAAATGCGTGCTCACTAGCCTTTCACATGCTTGTCAGACGAATGACACGGTCTTGAACTAGGCTACAGACAAAAAGAACACATTTCTCAAGCAGAGCAGACACAGACTGTATGGGTTTGCCATGTTCTGCAGGGCAGCGTGGACCTGGCTATGTCATTTTAGCCAACATTTTACAACAGCCTGAGGCCGAGCTGTCTACTAACACGATAAATAATACAAAACCCCCCCAAAAAAGGGAAAAAAAAACACTTGTTAACTGTAATGTATGTCATTTACTGGGTGTTTCAGACTGTTACAAAAGTTTAAATTACATTAAAACTAAGTAATTAGCAAGTTTCCTTTGTTGAAACGTGGTTTCTGTTTGGGTAACATTTACAACTGTCATTTTAAGAGTACAAAATAGAAAAAGCCATGCCAGGTTTGTAAAACATTCCTTTAGCACAGAGTAGCAGTCCCCAGGAAGCACCCTTTTACAAAATGTATTAACACTACAGCTGGGCAATATAACAATATTTATCATTATGGTGATGAATTACACAACAATAAGCTTTTCTGAGCATATTGTAGATTTCACGAGATCATAAAGAGCTTAAAGAGAGCATAACTAACCTGCTTAACTGGATTTAGTGCAGCACAGAGTGTGACACGTTCAATACAAGTAACTGGATTCATAGTTTTTGATAGTATTTTTAAAATGTGGCACTACTTTGTCTGTTCCTACTTATCAGATGTGAGAAAAAATAAAACTTATAACACAACATGTGTTGTAAAAAACGTCCTGAAGTATCGTGATATTGCATTTTGCCATATCGCCCAGCTCTACTTATAGATCATCTGAAACCGTGATATTTTGATATTTGATCATATCGACACCGCTCAGCACCGCTTAGCCTGAGGGCCAGTGTTTTTCTTGCTACTTGCTTATTCTTAGCCGACTGCGCTCTGTTCTGCACACTCACAGGCCGCCAGAAGGAAGGGGATTTAATCTGGATGGTTTCCTAATTCCTTCCTATCTAAAAGTACGTTTTCACACTCTGGAATAAATTTGGATTATCCACTCTGACGGGGCGAGTTCGCTGCTCGAGCTGCTAAATTCAGCTGCTTATTAGAGGCAGCCAATCAGAATTCAGGATTCGCCTCGGCTCGGGCTTTCGGACGGACGCGCGTGAGATAGAACTCGCTTGCAGTTTAAATTTTTTTGAAAATTAACCGTCGTAACGGTTAACAGTTCAGCAAGGCAGCCTGGCGATAAACAGCAAAACGCAAAATGGAAACGACACTGAAAGAGTTAACGCTGACTGAGACCGAGTCTCCCAAAATAATCCACTTTCTGTCTTGTGTCAGAGTGCTTAACGTTACCTCACCTGGCTCTGTCATCACTTCCCCGGCATGGCCAAAAAATATGAATATCTTCGCTTCGCAGCACAAGCGCCTTGCACAAGTACACAATCCCACCAAAACGAAAACGACCGCTACATTCAATTATTTGAAAGATGCACTGCATCCATGCGAAAGCTGCGGACACTATCGCGAACACTGCTGAGATGCTTCAGTTCAGCTCAGAGTAGCTACGCTAACATCGCAGCGGCAGCAGTGAGAGTTGAGCATTAACTTTAACGTTACCTCCTGCGGATGGAGACCGCGGCGGGTGGGAAGCGAAAGCAGCGGCGGCTCGGTCAGGGGGAGACAGCAGCGTCCGGCCGGCTTTCACCGGGTAACTCCATGATAAGTGACCAAAAAAGTCCAGTTGAAAACCGCGGCGTCTCGGCTGACAGTTGAATTTTGTCCCCAACACTCCGCTCCCCCCTCCGCCTCCACGAGCGATGAAGGACCGCCCCCTTTCTTTAAACGCCCGAGGGGAACCTGGGAAATGTAGTTTTTTTTAGTGTTGCGTCCGTTCTCAGGGTGAAATGAGGAGATCAGCCACATGTTAAAGAGGTATCCCTCGGATTTTAAAAACTTCTCTCTAATTAAGTGGTTAATTTGTAAATAAAGTCATTCAAGAGTGTTTTGGTGTGAAATGCCCTGTTTTAGAGAAACTTACAGAGTCAGAATTGTTCACAGTGGCGGTGATAGGAACCAGACGTCCACCTCTAAAAGCTCCCTCGCAGAATGTTATTAAATGAAATGGTTATGATTCCGGGGCCTGGTGCCTGAGACATTGTTTTACAATAGCTTTGGCGTAAAATGAACTTTTTTAATGCATTCACAGTGGAGATGTATACGTAGTGTTCTAAGGCAATATAGTCCCCAATATTTTTTTCAGATTTATAACTATTTTAGCATAATTTTATCTCACATTAAAGTGCAAAACTAAAGAAGCAAACTTTAGACACCACACATGTCTTGGCTGATCAATTATGATTGGAGTAAGAGTGAAATTGGTTACATTTTTATTATTATAAGTGCTGAATAACTTCCAGAACTGCAGTAAAAGGTCTTAGTATATAACATCCATCAGCAGAGACACCCTGGTAAAAAAAGGACCATTAGAACCGTTAGAATTAAACCTCATGGTTTTGCCTTCTAATAGGAAGTGGCTTAATGGTTAGAGACCACTAGTTTCCTGTAGGACACCTTTAGATCCCATTAGGACACCATCTAATGGATCTGGAATCAGTCCCAAAACCATTTGAGACCATCTGTTAAACCATTTAAATCCTTACATTGTGATATCAACCCAACAGGAAAACACAAAATATCATTAGTCACTATTGTTCACCACCATCTTCAGAACATCAATGAATGAAGCGTCCAGCCAATCTGATAAACGTCTGAGAAAAATGAAGGGTTTTGGATAATTAGGTTGTTAAAAAAGTCACAGAAAGTGGTTTGAGGGCAGAGATGTTGTCAATGGCATGATAATTATGAGAATATCTGTGTTCATTCATTTACTTCTTGTTTTTTTTAACATCATGATTGTTTAATCATGCAAGAGAAGCTATGGCAGACTTCCATAAGGATGAGCAGGACATCTCCAATGCTGTTTAATTGCACACCTACAATGTCTGATAATCGATGTGTCAAAAACAGAGGCTTATTTTTCCCATGAAGCTATCGTACACTGGGTACGCCAGTCCCTTAGTGGCCTGCAGGAGTGTCAAGAGAGGGGGAGGCTGTCAAAAACAGAGCGATTGTTGACCTCACCTATCGAGTGAGAGCAGCCTTCTGTTTGCAATATGAAGTCCCTGAATGGCTTTTATTACGGAGCTGTTGACTACCATTAATGCACTCACCACGCGTTTGGCAGATATGGGCCTAGAGGCCAAATCCAGCATGATTTTCATAAAACCCTGTGAGATCTGACAGGCTGGTGAAACAGAGACTCAGAGAGTCCTTGAGAATTTTTTTTATACATTCCTTTTTCTGCCTGTCAATTTCGGTCGGTTTTCATTTCAAGTTTATAAGAGTCTGACCCACAAACCAAGTTAGTGATCCACTTTTTTGCATCTGGCCTAAAAAAGAGACTTCAGCCTACAAATTCTTCAATCATTAGAGATGCAGCAGCCTATTTGTGATGAGCTTTGGCAAGGGCATAAAGAAACGCTCTCCAAATCAACCCTCATGCGAATGGCTCTAGATAAATATGTCCACGGCTGTTTTTCTGATGCTACAGCAGAACACTTAATGTTACAAATAATTTAAAAAATAAAATACTACTACTAACAGTTCACTCCTATTAAAAATAATAGTATATAAAAAAACAATGAAGACAACAGTCAGCTTTCTGATCATGAGGCCGACTCCCAAAGATATATTCACGTTTAGTCTGTGGCTGAGAGAGTGAATGAGCGAGAATGTGTATGTATATACATCATGAGTCTGCATGCTTTCATACGGTGTGTGTGGAATAGTGGGTGAGTGTGTATCTGTGTGTGACTCACAGTGACGTAGCCTTCACCAGGCCTTTGAGATGGAAATATTCACCAATTGTTTGACTCTCCTCTCACAGCTGCTGTAGCTGATTTGCACTAAAACAGAGCCGGGTGGTTTGCAGCTTTGATCAGCTACTCACACACATACACATCCCATCTTCTGTCTTCATTAGACACACTGAGAAAAAGCACTTAAACAGTAATCTAATGGAACATTCATTAACCCCATACAAGCCTGTGGTGGTGACCAGATCGCACTGGAAATAGAGATGATCAGGTCTGCATGAGAAACAGGTGGCAGTGGTGAGTTGTCAGCCCTAAAGGAATTGGGCTAAAAATTCAATCATTATTCAATCATCAAGTAAAATACATTATTTCTGTCTCTATTTTGACACATCAAACAATAACAACAAGCAACAAGTTTATAGCCTATTTTTGATGAATCTGTAATTTGCTAGCTAATAACTGATTAGCTTATGTTTGATTAGCCTATGATCAGTTAGCTAATGTTTGGTTAGCCTATAATTGGTTAGCATATAAGTGGTTATTCTATGATTGGTTAACTTATGATTGGTTAGCGTATGAATGGTTAGCTATTGATTGGTGAGCTTATGTTCGGTTATCTTATGATTGTTGGCCAATAATTAGCATATATTTGGCCATCCTATGATTGGTTAGCTTATGATTGCTTAGTTTATGATTGGTTAGCATATTAATAGTTAATATATGATTTGTTAGGTTGAGATTGGTTAGCCTATAATAGGTTAGCTTTTAATGGGTTTGCTTGTGATTGGTCAGTTTATGATTTGTTAGCTCGTAATTTTGTTTATCTTGTGAATGGTTATGTTATGATTGATTAGCCTATGATTGGTTAGCTTATGACTGGTTAGCCCATGAGCGGTTTACCTATGATTGGTTAACCTACAATTGGTTAGCCTATGGTTGGTTAGCCTATGAGCGGTTATTCTATGATTGGTTAGCTTGTAATTGTTTAGCCCATGATTGGTTAGTTTATGATTGGATGTCATAGGTTGTTACTACAGTGATTATTCAATTTTCACATTTTATTTGTTTATAAATTAACAGCACAAAATAAACAGTACACTCACCAAGCACTTTATTAGAAACACCTGTGCACCTACACATTCATGCAATTATCCAATAAGCCAATAGAGTGGCAGAAGTGCAGAATGGCCAGACTGGTTCAAGCTAACAGAAAGGCTATGGTAACTCAGATAACCCCTCTGTACAATTGTGGTGAGCAGAGAAGCATCTCAGAACAACGAACCTTATGGTGAATGGGCTCCAACAGCAGAATTAATGTTAGGTTCCACTTCTGTCAGCCAAGAACAGAGAGCTGAGGCTGCAGTGGGCACAGACTCACCAAAGCTGGACAACTTAAGATGAATCTCCATTTCTGCTGAGGCACACAGATGGTAGGTTCAGAATTTGGCATCAACAGCATGAATCTACGGACTCCACTTTATGTTAACAGTCCAGGCTGGTGGAGGTGGTGTAATGGTGTGGGGGATGTTTTCTCAGCACACTTTGGGCTCATTGATACCAACCAATCATCACTTGAATGCCACACACTTATTTAAGTGTTGTTGCTGACCATGTGTGTCCCTTCATGGTCACAATTTGCCATCTTCAAACGGCAACTTCCAGCACAATAATGCACCATGTCACAAAGCAATATTAATCTCAAACTGGTTTCATGAACGGGACAATGAATGTTTTTCAGTGGCCTTCCCAGTCACTAGAGCAGATTCTAGTAGAACACCATTGGAATGTGGTAGAACGAGAGATTCGCAGCGTGAAAGTGCACCTGAAAAATCTGCAGTAGTTGCATGATGCATGATGCAAATGTTTCCAACAAAGGAATGTTTTCAACATCTTGTGGAATTCATGCCATGAAGAACTGTTTTGAGAGCAAAGGGAGGCCCTACCAGTATTTGTATAGTGTCCTTTTAATTTTACAGTACTTTGTGAGATATATTTCCCAGGGAAAGTTAATATTAAGAGTCTAATGCTTAAAATCCAGAGTAGTTGAAGATAAAGTCTCACTCTGTCCTTTTGGCAGGATGCCTAACTGTCTGTCTCTTTTAAGGGCGTACTTAATCTGCTTTGTATAGATTGTCTGGCGATACCGAGGCCAGATTGAATTAACTAACCCCAATGAGGAAGGAACTAGTCACTGACATTGTTTTTAAAAGGATGGCACAACTAAAAGGTCATGCCAGGGGAGGACTACAGTGAAGAAAAAACTACCGATCTACAATTCTCTTGCTGTATATGAAAAACAATGAGAATGTGAGGCTCTTTGGTTTGTTTCTCTGAGTACAGATTGTAAGAAGAGGAACAAACCCACACAAAACAGTGGAGCAGTAGATGAATGAAGCTTTTGTGGTATGACACAGGAGGATGGAGGGAGAATATACAGTAACTGTACATCTATTGTTGGTGCTGTTGTGAGTGAATAGGGGGAGGAGGGCGTATCTGATCTGCGTGACGTGCTGTGTTTTGTTTCACTATCGAGAGCAAACTTTGATTTCTAGCACATCTCATGTTAATGCAGGTTTCTGCTTCACTTGACTGGTTCAGTGGCTTCAGATGTTAATAAATCACTCATGTTGCTCAGGAGTGAGTCAAGAATCTAACAGCAAGAGTAATTATATACAATCAGCAACCCCAGTTCTGCAGGGGTGTAAAAAGGCATCCAAAGGTGGTGATTTTGCAAATTAGAATCAACCATAATCAATTATAATAATATTCAATGACGTATGCATTCATTTTTGTCCAACATAAGATACTCAGGCTACTTTAAATTTGCAAAAACATTTTGCAGTCTGTATTCCACTACTGTGTAAACCATTCCTTCAGTTACATTAATTGTATTTTTTAAATAATTCTGAATTGAATTGA